CCAGCTTGTTCAGCTGGCAAGTCCATCTGGTGGTTTTTTTTCTTTGAGGTGCCCTCCCCAGAGCTCTCCGATCGGCTCCCATCTGGCCTAGCGGCTGCCGGGGCTGCTGCCATGCAGCTGCTACCTGGGAGCTCTCTGCTCACTCCGGTCAGAGTGCTGTGTCCACGATAAACCCCCTCGCTGGGATCCATGGTTTCCTTTTCCCCTACTGCTTTGTGTTTATGGAGCACATCCTTTACTAGCTTCCTGGGAAAGGTAGTAAATGAAGGGCAAATTTTTGAGTTTCCCATCCAAAAATGTTTATTCTGCCTTAATTTGGATATATTGCCTGGGTTTTATAATTTCAGGTTAGAAATACTTTTCTTTCCTATATCCTTTTGAATGTTGCTTTTGAAAGTCCTAGTCCCTAAATTGTGATTTTACTTTCCAAAAGCCGTAGGTATTAAAACTAACAGTAGTATATCTTGGCATGGACTTTTTTTTATTTTTTTTATTTTTATTTTTTTTTACTGTCTATGATGGATACTTTGTGTGGGTCTTTTTAACTTGGAAACTCATGTTTTTCACATAGGGAAGTATTTTTGTAGTATATCTAATAATTCATTCCCCTCCATTTTTCTTTCTGGAGCTCCTATTAATAAGTCTGATTAATTGTTTAATAGTCTTATTTTTTTTACCTAATCTTCCATCTCTTAACATTTTGTTCCATCTTCTGGAAGATAGTTCTTATTTTATCTTTACAAAAAAAATATTTTCCTTTTTTTTTTTTAATAACTTTCAATTCTTTTGAATTTTTGTTCAAAATTTTAATTCTAAGAATACTCTCTTGTTCTCTATTATTTCCCTCCAGTATCTTGGTCTTATTTCATAGGTTCAAAATCTTCTCCTATTGTTGAGAATATCTCATAATTTTACTTGTCTTCTGCTCCTTGCATTGACTGTTTCCTTCTAGTTTCTTTCCTCCATTTGTTTTTATATTTGTCATTCCATGTAAAGGAAGTTAACTGAATAGTTATTGATCCTCAAATATCTGTTCATACTTAAGACACAGTAGCCTGCTCAGGTCAAGGTGTGTTGTCCCATCTCTGCCCCAGGCCCCCTTGTTTCTTTTTCTTAAATGCATCCTCTGAAGTTAGAAGTAAGCACTCGCCATTTCACAGAGCGGGGGAAGTGCTTTGAATTCAGCACGGACACACTTGAATTCAGCATCCACCCATTTGGTTAGCACCTCGCTTGGTGGAGATTGTGCTGTGGGCACCGTTCCCTCAGGCAGGCTCAGAGGTGGAGGGAACTCGGGCAGGGCTCCCGCAGGGCTGTTTCTGCCGCAGACATGGACATCCCGTTGCCTGATGAAGTTCTACGCTGTGGTGGCTGCCTCACCTACATCCTGGGAGAGCCACAAGATTGCAGAGAGGATCGAGCAGCGCATCTTGAACTCCAACCCTGTCATGGAAGCATTTGGTAAGCTCAGTGTCCTCTGTCCCATGTCCTCTGGGATTTGCCACCTTCCAGGGAGAGGAGAGTGAAACCCTCTCTTTGGGGGTTGGAGGATGAGTGTTGCATTCACTGCCTTGGGTTCCCAATCTCCTCCAGGTACCCTGAGCCTCTTTCCAGGAGAGATGCTGTCATCCAGCCATCTCCTCCCTCTAGCCTACGCAGATGTAACAGTGGTGCTGGAGAGGATCTTGTGGCTCCTCTGGTCTAACCCTGATGGTTCAGAGGAGAGGGGAACTTGTCTAAGGATGGGCAACAGTTAGTGTCCATGTTGGGACTCTAGATGTTGAGCCTACTGTCTAACTCAATAGTGACAGCTTGTTGTTTTTATCCTTTCCCTTCAAAGAAGACAGTGTCTGGCTGCCTAGGCTTGCTCATTTCAGTTCATTGCCAGGAAGTTCTTCTAACTCCTCAGTTGCACTTGCTGAAGCCCAAGTGCTCCTTCCTTAGTCCTGTCCCCTGTGGCATAGAAACCAAACAGGGCTTTTAGATGGCTTTACAGAGACAGCCCCAGCAGACCTGCAGCCACTTGGCCCGGGAGGACTCTGTAAACATAGGGGAGCGGTACAAACAGAGGTGTGATCTGTAGGGAATGCGTGCACGCTGAGGAATAACAACAGCAGTCGCTTTGGGAAGTTCATCCAGCTCCAAATGAACAGGTAATTGCTGCTGCCGCCACTGCCCTGGCTGATGGGAGGTCGGGGGCAGGGAGTCTGCAGGTGGCTGGAGTAGTCTCTAGCCTGGGCCACCCCTGTGGGCAGAACCCTGCTCCTCCTGGCATGCACATAGATGGGATCAGTGAACCCTGAAGGTGATCTTTGAATCTAGAGAACTGTAGCTGCTCAGCCTTGGAGAACCTGGGGCAGCATGCTTGTCACAGCCTGTGCGCTCCTCCTGGCTTCTACCCTTGCTTGGGGACTTATAGTTAAACAGCCACTTCTGTGGGCCACAACGCTGAGCTTGAACCTGGCAGGGCTTCTGCTGCTGCCTTGGGATGGGGCATAATGACTTACAGAAGCCTTGGCTCTGCCCACCTGAGCTGGTTACAGGGGAATGTCCCGTACCCCTCAAGGGCCTGCTGAGTGGTCCCTCGTCCTCATGACCCCCATTGGCTAGGTGGAAGAGCCTGGTGGGGATGGGGGGTTGCAGTCTGGCACACAGTAAGTGCCTATGGAATGAATGGGTAACTAATGGGCTCTGGCCTGCTTGTGCCAGGGCCCATCAGATGACTGGAGCTGCAGTCCAGACCTACCTCCTAGAGAAAACGCGCGTGGCCTGCCAGGCCTCCAGTGAGAGGAACTTCCACATCTTCTACCAGGTCTGTGCCCGGTGGGGCCCTCAGCTGCCCAGATGCTGGTGGAGATAGCCTGTGACTCTTAACCCCTCCTTCTGCCCCATGCCTGCCTCTTTCATTGGCTTCCAGTGGTGCCACCACTTATTCCAGCAGACTTTATGCAGCACTGCCGCACACTGGACCTGGCTTCTGGGATAGTTTGGCATGGGGATGTGTATTACCTCCTCTATCAAACCAGACATGCTGAGGACTCTCCTTAGAATGGCAACTGTTTCCTCCAAACAGAACGAGGACTTCCCCAGAGCTGTGCCTCTTCCATCAGATGGGTGGTCCCCCAAAGCATGGGTAGTGTGTCCCCGGCTCTCAGATTGGGCCTGGGGCCTCCCCAGGGAGGAGTTGTGCTTTCCGCAGACACAGGCCTCCTCAGAGGGTGTTGGGCACCGGGTTGTACACACGAGGACTAGTTGCTGCTGCTTTTGCCCCGTGTCTACCCTGGGTGCTCGACAGTCTTGTGATGTCACTGCCATTTCTCTTTCTCACTCCTTTTATCTCAGCCCTAGGCCTAAACAAGCCTGGGCTTCCCTCGCACCCCCAGCTCAGCAACCTCCCCCCTCCCCCAGATCTGCAAAGGAGCCAGTGCAGACGAGAGGCTCCAGTGGCACCTCCCCGAGGGAGCCACCTTCTCCTGGCTGCCCAACCCACACAGGACCTTGGAAGGTAGGGCGAGCCTTACCCAGCACCCACCCCCTCTGCTCACAGCCTGCCTCCTCACCCTCCCTGCCCCTGCTGACCTCCGGTCCTGACGCTGGGCCGTCACTTGGGTTTCTTTTCAGAGGATTGTTTTGAGGTGACCAGAGAGGCCATGCTTCATCTTGGCATCGACACCCCCACCCAGAACAACATCTTTAAGGTCAGAAGGAAAGCCATGGCACTTACATTTGCCTGAGGTCTCAGGAAGCCCCTCCTCTGAACCTGAGTCTTCCTGAGAATCTGAGACTCTGGGCCCCGCCTTGCAGTCACCAAGAAGTGGACGCTCCTCTGAGCCACTGAACCGGGACACGGTGTCGGTGCGAGAGGCATAGAGCACATAGTTCTGTATATAAAACAGCATTGTGAGCGCCAGAGCTCAGAGGGCAAGGAGCCTGGGTCAGCTCGTACTGCAACAGTCAGAGTAGAAAAATAACGCTGCCACGTTTGCCCAGGGCAGCTAATGGGCTCTGGTGTGTAGGAATTTTAAAATAACATTAACACTCTTTAGCTCACGAGTTTTCAACAGGCCTGTGTGTAGGGAGTTATTCCTACTTTATGCTTGAGAAGACTGGAGAGGTAAAGTGACCTGCCGAAGGTCACTGATACAGATAGACTTGCACCAGGCGGAGTAAGTCCAATCCCCACCTTCTTTCCCCTCCTCTCCAGACATGCTGACCCAGGTGACCTGGGCTCCTCTCATCCCCATTAGTGGCTGTTCTCCTCCCATCTTTCTTTTCCTACTGACCACCTCCTGCTCCCTCACCTCCTCACCTGCCAGAGCAGCGGGAGCGAGTAGATAGGATAGGCTGGCAGCAGAGACGGGAGCCCCTGCAGGGAGGTGGCAGTGCAGTGGAAAGTGGCCTCCATCTCCAGGTGGGCTCCTCAGGCAGGGAGGGGATCACAGCCAGTGTGGGCACTGCCAGGCAAGCACTTGGCCAGAGGGACAGCAGGAGTGGACAACAGTAGGATGTCTAGACAGGAGGTTACAGATCCTCCCCTCGGCTGGGCCATCGGAGCCCAACTGTGCTGAAAGAGAGCCAAAGGAAGCCCAAGCCCAGCTCCACAGAAGCAAGCTGCTCATGAGGAACAGAAGCTGTGTCCTACAGCCTGCTCCAGAGGGGAAGGCAGAGGGACAGACCACAGTGACCTGGGGGCCCACCAGCTGTCCTGGAGGCTCCTGTAGTCAGACTGCCCGGTTCTCATTTAATCTGCCCCTTCGCATCTGTGTCATGGACATCACTGCAGCACTCGCCTCACTGATTAACCAAGTCCTAGCTGGTTGGCTCAGTGGATAGAGCGTTGGCCTCGGAGCAAAGGGTCCCAGGTTCGAGTCCAGTCAAAGGCACATGCCCAGGGTTCTGGGCTCGATCCCCAGTAGGGAACGTGCAGGAGCCAATCAATGATTCTCTCATCATTGATGTCTCTCTCTCTCTCCCTCTCTGAAATCAATAAAAGTATTTAAAAAAAAAAAAAGATTAACCAAGATGATGCATGTAACGTCTCTCAGAGTCCTGCAGCAAATGGGCAGTAGCTGGGAGCTGCTATTCTTCTTCTGTTGTGATTATATTTAGCGGAAGAGAAGCCTTCCAGGCTGGACTCCAGCCCTTACAAGGTGCCCCCTGCGTGTCTCCTTTCTCCTGCCCCTCAGGTCCTGGCTGGACTGCTGCACCTCGGCAACGTCCGGTTTGCTGACTGTGAGGATGAAGCCCAGCCCTGCCAGCTGATGGACGATGCCAGGGGTGAGAGCAAGGGTAGCAGGGGCTGTGCCTCAGGCTTTGGTCACAGACCCAGGGAGCAGGGCTGGTCCTGCCCAGAAAAGAGCCAGCACCGGTGGGATTGGGTAGGAGGCCAGAAGGTGAAATTTGGAATCGATGCCCTTGATTAAACATCAGCTGTAGCGTCCTGCCTTGGATAAGTTACTCCTTACCCCATCTCTGAAGCAGGCAGCATTGTCCCCATTTTACACAGGAGCAAACAAGAGTAGGAGGGTTTATAATTTGTCCCACACGTGGCAATGTGGACTGGGACACGGAAGACCTGGGTTCATGTCCTGCCTCTGCCTTCGGCAGGTCTCTCCGCCTAGCAGCAAGGCTGCTGCGTTCATCTGGGTGGGTGACTTCACTGCCTTGTGAAGGGGGCTGTGTGGACGGAAGGTTTGTCCCTCTCAGGCTCTGTCAGAACATCGGCCTCGCTGCTCTGGCTCCCAGAGGACCCGCTGCTGGAGACGCTGCGCATCAGGACCATCAGGGCGGGCAGGCAGCAGCAGGTGTTCCGGAAGCCCTGCTCCCTCGCCGAGTGCGACACCCGCAGAGACTGTCTGGCCAAACTGATCTACGCACGGTGAGCACTCTGGGCCCCTGCTGCCTCCAGGTTCTCCCCTCTTTGGAGTTGAACCAGACACTGCCATGCAACAGCCCCAGGCCCAGGGTGAGGGCTGCCAGACACAGCAGATAGTTCCCGTCCCTGCTCCCCAGAGCCTTGGGGACAGCAGGGAGTCGCTCCTGGGACTCCCCCAAGCAAGGCCCTCGGCCTCATTCAGGGTGCTCTGCATGGGGAAATTGGCACAGCTTTGGTGATTGGTGAGGAGAGCCTGCCTACCTCTCCGCTGGCAATGCAGGCCGCCATGGTGATCTGGGGTCCTCAGAGTTCCAGGTGCAGACCCATGTGTCCTTGTGTTTCAGCTCTTTGTAGGCACCTGGGGAATATGATAGATGATGGTAGAGCCAGAACCTCAGACCAAAGTGCAGGGCAACCCAGCAAGCAGCAAGGGGAGCCCAGAACAGGGAAGGGTGAGGTCTTGGCCTTTCTTAGTGGGTTATATGGGCATGTCCACCCTCTGGCCATGTGGTTATGGGTGCTTTCTCACCCTGGGTTCTGAGAACCTTCATGATGCCATGTAAGGGTGTCAAGTGGCACCTTTGAAATTAGTGGACGGAACACGTATATGTGCGTGTGCATGTGTTTATGGCAGCTTGGCCCTCCTGGGTGTGGCACCCTGGCTGGAGGAGCAGCTCTGTCACCCCTCAAACTCATCTTGACCCTCTCTCACCAGAGTCTCCTCTTCCCCAACCCCAATAGGCTGTTCGACTGGCTGGTATCGGTGATCAACAGCAGCATCTATGCGGCCCCCGACTCCTGGACCACTTTCATAGGTAGCATGGGCCCCCGCCAGGAACCCCCCTTCTAAAAAGGACCAGGGCCGCTCCGGGCCCACTGTGCTAACTCTGGTAGCTCCTTTCCTTCTCCTGCCTCCCCCTCTCCTCATCTGCCCACCAGCGTTTGGGCAAGGACATCTCTGTACTCACCGGCTCACATCTGACTCGTCCCAAGCTCACCAGGCAGACTCAGATGGCGCTTGTCTGTGAGCGTAGTGGGATGAGTGAAAGATAACCGTGTTGGAACCTGGGTAGAGAATATCAGGTTGGGGAGGCAGTAAAGCTCAGAGGCACCCGTGAGTTTGTTCACAGAATGTGGAATTCTGGACACCAACTGGGCTAGTGAGGCCCAGCCCCTCCAAACTGGGCTGGATGCAGAAAACGTTCCCTGGGACCTGGTGCCCTCAAGAAGGGGCTGACCAGGACCTAAGGCTTCAGCCACGACAAGCTCACCCTGGTGCCCTGGGTTGCCCCCACACACATTCAGTCTTTCTTCCTGCTGTGAATTCTAACGGGGCTTGAGGTACAGATGGGCACCCTGGGGTGGGGTATGGTGCTCTGCCCACTGCGGGTGTCATGCTCACTCAGCCTCATCCCCAGATGAAGCTTCACCCTGAGCCTCTGCAGTGACCCCATGGGTTCTCCCCTAACCCGCGCCCTCCCTGCCGCTCCCCCCCCCCCCCCAGGCCTGCTGGATGTGTACGGCTTTGAGTCATTTCCTGACAACAGTCTGGAACAGCTGTGCATCAACTATGCCAATGAGAAGCTGCAACAGCACTTTGTGGCTCACTACCTAAGAGCTCAGCAGGTGAGCGTGTGGCAGGGTAGGGGATCCTCTCTCTTCCTGGCCCCCAGGACCTAGCCTTTAATGCCTCCTTTGATGCCATGCTGGAACAGCTGGTGTTGCTGAGGCCAGCCATAGGATGGCCTTCTGGGCCTCAGCCCTTAGCTGCCTCCTGCCCCCTCACCTTGCCCTCTAGGAGGAATACGCACTGGAGGGCCTGGAGTGGTCATTTGTCAACTACCAGGACAACCAGACCTGTTTGGACCTCATCGAGGGGAGCCCCATCAGCATCTGCTCCCTCCTAAACGAGGTGGGAGTGTCAGTAGTGTGCTGAGCAGCAGAGGTGGGCTTTGGGCTTTTCTGATGCCTTGAAGACTCATCCATGCCTTTCTGTGCCTCTGTCTCCCCATCTGCCAAATGGGTTTCCTGATTCCCATACTCCTTCACTCAGGGTCACGGTACTGCCTATGTGACAACTCTGCTACCGTGGGGACGACGGGGTGGAGACTGTGAGGGTGTGGGGAGCCCTCTCACTTTTGTGGCCGACTGTTTATCCCGCCCCACACAGGAATGCCGCCTTAACCGGCCGAGCAGTGCAGCCCAGCTCCAGACACGCATTGAAAGTGCCCTGGCAGGCAGCCCCTGCCTGGGCCGCGACAAGCTCAGCCGGGAGCCCAGCTTCATTGTGGTGCATTACGCGGGGCCTGTGCGGTACCACACCGCAGGCCTGGTGGAGAAGAACAAGGTGAGGCTGGGCCACGGCCCCTGAGGACCGGGGTAAACGGCACGCTGAGTCATTGCTGCCCATACACGCAGCTTCCTGTGGTGCATCTCCCTCCTGAATATCTTCCCAGAACCCAGGTCACCTCTTGGGCCATCTGCCTGAGGTCTGCTAATCAGGCACGTCCTGCCCAGAAATGACCCATGTCACACTGGGTTACTGGTTCATAGGCGACCAGCTTGTCTCCCGGACTCAGGGCCTGTCCTGCCCTGGAACTCCCTCCTCTGGGGCCTGGGTGAGCAGGCTGGCAGGCCTGTGGACAGCCCTGAGTAGCACACCACCTGCCCTCACCCACTGCTCTCGTCCTCTCCCAATAGGACCCTGTGCCCCCTGAGCTGACCAGGCTCCTGCAGCAATCCCAGGACCCCCTGCTCAAGGTGTTGTTCCCTACTGACCCAGAAGAGAAGTCCCAGGAGGAGCCTTCTGGCAAGAGCAGGACCCCAGTGTTGACCGTGGTGTCCAAGTTCAAGGTGGGTCTGGTGGTGCTGACGTGACATGTTTGGGTCACTCCTCAGTCTCAGATGTTTGCCAAGCACTTCCCAGGATTGTTTACTGGAGAACATTGATGAGTTAAGACGTGGTCTGGGTTCACACCGAGTGGACAGTCCTGTGTGAAGACAGAGACAGGAGACAGACACACAGACTTAGCATAACTGCCATGATGGGAAGCCCAGGGGCCTGTGGGTGGTGCAGGGGTCTCTCACCCACTGCTTATGGGGGGCTGTGGAAGAGCAATAGTTACCTGCACCCGTGACCTGGCCCATTCCCAGTTCTCCAGCTTCCTGCTCAGACTTTGTCCTTGGCCAGAGCGGGTTTGACTCCTCCCGTATCTTATACTTTCTACTGTCTCTCACCACACTCTGCTCCTCTCCCTACCCCTTTCTTCCCCCCCCCTTCCCCCCTCCATGTCTTTTTAGTTTATTCCTTCTCATCCTTCAAAGTTCTGCATTATGATCATCTCCTTGAGAAGGCACCCGGGGAGCCCAGGTTTGAAGAGCTTTCCTGTCCGGCCTCAGACACTACTGAGGGTGCCTGTCCAGTGCCTGTGCCTCGTTAGGCCGGCTCTGAGACAGCAGCAGACTGCCTGTCATAGCTCTTCAGTTTCCTGCACACGGGACAGACTTTGGTTTACTAACAGCTATTTCCTGAGTGAATGGCTGGGGGTTCTGAGATTGCTCTCTTCTAGGAAGATTGTGGGGAGTGGGGAACCCTGAGACCAGATGCAGAGACCAACCAGTTGGAGGGTCACAGTTCAAGAAAGGTCCCTGGAGGCAGAGTGAGGAGCAGTGGGACGTTAGGGACGGGTGTGCTTGGACACAGTAAGAGCCTACAGTAGTCATCCCAGGGCACATGAAGTCCTGGTCTTGGGGCTGGAGGTGTTTGATGCAGTCTCTAACCAGGCCCAGCTGATGCCCCCAGCAGCTCCATCCTCTGCCTGACTGACGTGCTCTCCCCTCTGCAGGCCTCCCTGGAGCAGCTCCTGCAGGTTCTGCACAGCACCACGCCCCACTACATTCGCTGCATCAAGCCCAACAGCAAGGGCCAGGCACAGACCTTCCTCCGGGAGGAGGTAATTCACACTGAAACAAAGCTGCTTCGCAGAGAGCCCTATCTGGCAAAGGCCCTGGAGGGGTGAAGGGCAGGACATCTGCTCCGAGTGCAGTGACCAGAGGGCGTCTCTCAGGCTGGGCCTGACTTTAGGGGGGCTTGTCTCCCCAGAGCTGGGAGGGCAGGCATGTATGGTTGTGTGGTCTGCACTGCAGTGACCTAAGGAAGGAAGGAGGGCTCAGGTGCCTCTTGCTCTCTCCTCACTGAGCTCTGCCCTGATGAGACTGGAGCCCCAGAAGAATGGCTGTCTCTTGTAATTAGCTGAAAGTTTGTCTCACCTTACATTCTAGTTTTTTTTTTAATTTGCATAAAAAGGGCCAGCAATTGTTCTTTGCTCAGGGTACCGGGCTCCACAGGATGTGGATGAGGTGTGAGTACTGGGCGATGCTGGAGTATCCCAGTCAACTGGTAGATGTGACCTTAGGGCTTATAGCCAGGACCACTCTGTTCTGTGGTCAAGACCATGGTGCAGGTTCCAGGAGGCTCTTCACATAAAACCACCTCCCATGCCCCGCAGCTGTGACTCACTTAATTGCCTAGCCAAAAATAAAACAAAGCAAAAGAGGCAGAGCGCATCTGCACTGCGGGGATGGTAAGAGCCCCGCCAGCAGCTGCCTCCGCTGGGCCAGAAGCCATGCACCACATAGGGGACCTGGGGCTGCCGGGAGCCTTCTAGCAGGGAGATATTTCTTAATTTCTCACTGCCCCAGCCCCAGAGTGTACACCTCCATCCGTGGACCCTCAGGAGGCCCTGCAGTCCACTCCACGCTGGCAGGGTCTCTGGCCTGCCGGCCCCACGCGGTCTCTCCACCCCTGCAGGTCCTGAGCCAGCTGGAGGCCTGTGGCCTCGTGGAGACCATCCACATCAGTGCCGCCGGCTTCCCCATCCGGTGAGTGGGCCCAGCACTGCAGGGGCAGGACCAACGTCAGGGTAGAGCTCGGGACTCGGGCCCAACAAGAGCCTGCCCGGCCAAGAGCCAGATGTGGAGATGAAGAGAAAGGGCAGGCCTACAGGTGTCAACCTCAACTCAAGGGACTGTGCTTGTCATTTACCCGTTCACTTTCTGTGCACGATATTGTGCTAGCACTGTTTCTAGTATATACCAGTGAATAAGGAAGTCTGAGTCTGCCCTCTTGGGGAAGAACAAAAAGTATAAAGTTAATGCTAGGGAAGAAAAAAATGTTATTAGGTAGACTAATGGGAAAGGGTATCCTTGGGCTGGTCCAGGAGGGGTCCTATGGGAAGATTTGGGGAGGAGAGCATTCCAGACTAGGGACAGGTTAGGCAGGTTAAGAGGTGCTTAAGTGACTGGAGCATGGAGAACTGAGAAGAGAGGAGGGAGGGATGGGTGCCAGGCCTGAGGGATTCACAGTCTGTCCTGGGTGCTATGGAAGCTGCTGGGCATTCTGAGGGAGAGCTGTGCTCCCATGGCTGCCACGTGGAGTTTGGACATAGGGTCAGAGAGAGGAGAGGAGAGGAGTGAGAGGCTGTTGCAGGCGGACAGGTGAGATGACGTCCCCGATGAGGGTGGCAGCAGTGAACACTGGAGAGAAGTGGGTAAAATTGGTGCGGCTTGTGATAGAAAGAGGACTGTGGACTGGTTGACGGTGGGTATTAGGCAGGGAAGTCAACTTCCAGGCTTCTCTCTGAGGCAGATGGGTGGATGGGGGATAATTCCTGGAGGCGAGATGGTTTGAGGAAGGCATAGGTTGCAGGGTGGGAGAGTCAGGTTTGAAATGGCTGTGAGACAGGCCCGGGCTCGGCAGAGATCTAAGAACTGGAGGGTCTCAACACCACAAACAAGGAGGAAACCTCAGCGAGGATAGAAGGGGTCAGGGCCATGCCCTGAGGAATGCTCACATTCCGAGAGGGGGATGACAGGAAACTAGCAACAGTAACTTGAGTGGCATGCTGATGGCTGTGACAAGAGCCACATTGGTGCAGTGTTGTGGACAGAAGCCAAACTTAGAGGAAGGGCAGATATTAGATGTCACCAGCTGTTTAGAGAAGGTTGTCAATGTCAAGAGGATAGAGAAATCAGGATAAGTGGAGGAGGCTGTGGGTCAGGACAGTGGAGACGCAGCCAAGCACTGGGGGTGTGAGGTAGGAGTGGTCTAGTGGGGGAGGGGGGGTGCGTGCCCCTTCAAAGGAGGCAGGCAGCAAGCCCTCTAGGAAAGGGCCCAGAAAGAGCAGACCCTTGGAGTAATCTCTCCAGAGCTACAGCCTCGGCCATGCAGTGCAGCCAGGGCAGCACCAGGCCTGGGTGTTGAGCAGATTAAATAAATTACTCCCGTCGTACCTGAGCACTGTGTCCATGGATGAAGTCGCTTCATTCTCTTCTTCCCCCTTTTGGCTTCCAGGGTCTCTCACCGGAACTTTGTGGAACGGTACGCGTTACTGAGGCGGCTCCGTCCGCGCACAGCCCCGGGCCCCCCGAGCTCGTCTCTTAATGAAGGGCGCCCAGGTGAGTGGGGCCCATCATTTCACCCAGTCTTGTCACTGGCTTGTAGGAGCAGAGAGTGGTGGGAAGTGAGCCTGGGTGACAATGGGACAGAGTCACAGAAGCTGGACTTTATTTTCTGGGTAGATGGGGCACTCCTCATGCTTCCTGGACACTACTGTGGGGGCCACATGGTAGGGCTGTTAAGTTGGCAGGAGTAGAGAGAAGCTAGAGATGTGGACACAGTCAAGAAATATTGGGAAGAAACTAGTTGGACTGGGCAAGCATTTGATGAGATATAGAGGAAAAGGAAAGGAAGTAATTAGTTAAAATAATTATTAAAATAATGAGCTCTGCCTGGCCAGTGGGAGAAAGTAGCTGGGGAGCTGTTGAACCTGCTGGGGTTCTCCCCCAAACTTTGGTCTCAAGGGAAAGTTCTGGCCTGTGACCCTGATTGGAGGATTGTGGGCTTGTGGCTCTCTGAGGCTGTGACCCCAGCACAGGAGGAGGGAAAGTGGTGCAAGGCTCCGCCCAGTATGATCCCAGCCCAGCGGTAACCACTCCCCCCACTTACACAGCCTTACCCTGGGGCCAGTTGGGACAATTCTGCTTTGTTTTTCTCTGTCTTGGGCACAGTTAGTCACTTTCCTTTCACCTTTCTCCCCACCGCTCTTCCTCCTCTCTCCGTGGTCTGCTCTGCTCTGTCTCTCGCCCACGTCCCCGGGGCTCTGGTTGATTCTGCTGCTGTTTCTCGTCTGCGGTATCCTCTTTGGCAGCCTCTGTCTCCAGAGAGGTTCTGAGCAGCCAAAGGTGTTCAGAGCCTCAGGTAAACCTCCCTCCACAGCAGTCAGCCCTGCGACGCAGGAGGTCGGCAGGGGGGTCCCAGGCCTCCACAGGCCCAGAATCCGTCCTCTTTTCCCTTCCATGGCAGGAAGTGAGCTCTCAGGGCGGAGGGGGTGGCCCTACTGCCCTGTTTGGCCCTCAGCACGTTTGGGGCACCAAGCGCCCTTTGTCACTTGCCCAAAGGGACCCACAGGAGTGGAGGCTGCAGGCCAGTCCAGGGCACAGCCACAGTGGGATTCCAAGACTCCTCATAACAGCCAGGGGCCTGAGGGATATGAGAGGGGCTGCCCCTGGTTTCTCCCCCACAAACAAAAGGTAAAAATGGCTAGAGACAGGAACAAAGAGGCCTGTAAAATGCTAGGGAGACAAGAACCAGTTTCTTAAGGCCACAGAAGGGTGGAGATGACGAAGCACTGACGGGACCTCTGTCTCCCACCCTCAGAATGGTCTCCACAGGCCGAGGAGGCCACGCTGCAGCCTCTGCTCCAGGACATACTCCGCACTCTCCCAGCTCTACCCGGGGCAGCAGCCACATCGGGCAATTCTGTGCAGGCCACGCCAGCCACACTGCACTGTGGCAGGACCAAGGTGTTCATGACGGACTCCACGGTAAGCTGGTTTCAGAGGAGCAGAGGTCACAGAAACAGCGGTGTGCTCTCAGCAGGACGGGCTGGGCTCTCCTCAGGAGAGGGGCAGGATGGGCTGACGACCTCAGTGGATGCCCCTTCTCCCAGCTGGAGCTCCTGGAACGCAGGCGTGCCCAGGTGCTGGAGCAGTGTGCCCGCTGCATCCAGGCTGGCTGGAGGCGACACCGGCATCGCAAGCAGGAGAGGCAGAGGCGGGCTGCTGTGCTCATCCAGGCAGGTAGGACTGGGGCCCTGGGCACGTAGCCTCGTTCCAGGCCCACAGATGCCTTGAGTGCAGCTCTGATCAGTGACCGCAGACCCTACGTTCCTTTGAATGCTGTCCCTTGAGTCCCCAGACACCAAAGCTGACCGTGTCCCAGCCTCAAGGCGTTGGTGGCACGTCCCGTGGTGCGCTGGGGTTCACACTCCCGTTCTTACCCAGAGCGTCTTTCCAGTTCAGTGAGAACCAGGTCACACCACAAATACGGGTGCTATGTAGGCAGTGGAGGCTAAAAATCTCTTCAATTCCCTTTGCCAGACCTAGAGAGCTCTTTACTCATCTTTCTTTCCCTTTATGACAGCTCTGCTGATCTCCAGGGCTTCTAATGAGTTTAACAAGGTAAAAACCTGATAAGATTTGATTCATCGAAGAAAGAAATGTATGAACATTGTTAACAGCAGTCTCATTTTTAAAAATAAAAATACTAGAAACCACCCAAAAATTTGCCAGTGGTGGAATCATGGCTATGTTATGGACCATCCTTATGAAGTAGCTAAGAAGTCTTTTTGAATACTTTAACTTTAAATTTAATGGAAAACCACTTCCAATATGATGTTCTAACCTGGGTGCCAAACTACATAGGGGTAAGGTGCATTTCTGTGCATATTAGCATGAAAACAATGCATAAGAAAGTACTATAGAACCATGTGGTTTGGTGAGGTAACAGCTAACTTTTATGTGTCTTTAAACATTTTCATTTTTTAGAATTCCACAATCCAAATGTATTCATATTTTTTGGAATAGTCCTTTTTCTGAATATGATTATACCAAATGGAAAAAAATGCTGAAATTTCAAGAAAAAAGTATCATGATCAGTCTACCATTTGGCAGTTATTACCTTTACCAGCATGTGGGTGTCTGGTGATATCATTCATGGATTCACAAAGCAAGCAAATTTGGGTTTCCAAAAAACAGAACTAATTCTAAAAGATGCAGGCAGCCGGAACCGGTTTGGCTCAGTGGATAGAGCATCGTCCTGCGGACTGAAAGGTCCCGGGTTCGATTCCGGTCGGGGCATGTATCTTGGTTGCGGGCATATCCCCAGTGGGGCATGTGCAGGAGGCAGCTGATCGATGAATCTCTCTCATCAGTGTTTCTAACTCTATCCCTCTCTGTAAAAAATCAATAAAATATATTTAAAACAAAAAAACAAAAAAAAAAAAACAGGCAGTTCCCTGGGCATTATGCCAGCTGAGCCTAGGGTGGGAGTTGGCCCTCTCCTAACTGCCCCTTCAAGGTATAGGCACCTCCAAGTCAGTGGGCGTGTGAGGGCCAATTTTGATTCATGTATTGACTTTAGTACCTTACCTTAGGAAGAGTGCAAATAGCCACGAACTGAAAAAACACCTCTTTCAGACTTTTAGGGCAGCTCTGGTGTCGCTGCACAGCCAGGTCACAAGAACTGTAATGAACACTGTACTCTTTCCTGTTTCTGGGCAACCCTCTAGCCATTCGCTCCTGGTTAACGCGGAAGCACGTCCGGAGGCTGCACGTAGCTGCCACGGTCATCAAGCGCGCGTGGCAGAAGTGGAGAGTGAGTACCAGGGTTGCCTGTGGATATCTGGGTACCAGACAGACCCGGGTTGGAACGCTGGCCCTGCCACCGCAAAGAAGGTGGTCTCGTGTTCTTCATGCACAAAGTGGGCCCCACCTGCACTGCAGGGTGGCTGTGACGGTAAAAGTGGCATAAGCAACTGGGAAAGTGCTAAACACCATGGAGTGACAGACTCTTAAACGGAGTGGATTTTATATCAATTAGATCTCACCAAGGAATTTTTTAAAGTAGCCTATGTAAGGCGTAGGCCCACCTGCCTTGGGTATAAAGTTCAGACCCAGTCTGGTTGAAGGCATCCAGCGATCACAGCCAGGTGCCCTTCAGTTCACCTGGTTAAGCTGACTTATTAAAGAGGGTTTTGGTTTCCATTAAGAGCTGATAAAAGCTATAAAGTGGTGTTCTCTTTTTAAGATCAGAATGGCCTTCCTTGCTTCTAAAGAACTGGATGGTGTAGAAGAAAAACACTTGTTTCAAGCTCCCCGTTCCCCAAGCTCCTTCCCGCTGCCCCAGGCACAGAGCTGGCTCCCGGGGGCCATAATCCGCCTCTGGCCCCTGGGACTGGTCCTGGCCAATGCAGCCGAGGGTGTGCATGGCTTTCAGAGGAAACTGGTGGTCTGGGCCTGCCTCCAGCTCCCCACCAGCAGCCCCCGTAGCTACACTGTCCAGACAGCACAAGAGCAAGACGGTGTCACGTCCATCCGGGCACTGCCTCAGGTAAGCTGTGATGGCATGGGTGGCAGCTCTGGGTCCTCACGTCTCACTGTAGAAGGCCCAGGAATCCACAGCGGGAGCAGGACTGGGGCTGGGACAAGAGCTGTCCTAACCCTACTGGGAAAACCAGAGCCTAAGCTTCCCAACTGCTGCAGTTACAACTCGGACTTTTCCAGGGCCTTTTCATCGCCTTAGAAACCGCCTCTAAGTGTTCTGGAGCAGCGGTCGCCAACTGGTGGTCCGTGAGGTCCGAAAGGTTGGCCACTGCTGGTTTAAGGAAACCTTTGGAGCAGCGGTCTGCTGCGGGTGGTCTGTGAGGCCCAAAAGGTTGGCGACCACTTTTCTAGGGCCACCTTTTATTTAGTCCCACACTTGGAAAAAACTTGGGTTGTGCTGACAGCTTACTCCCTCCAGTGACACTGGATTTGTCACCAGGTTTTCCCCAACTTATTATGTTACTTGGTTTTTCTCGTTTTTCACCTAAGGAAATGACAAGCAGGTGAGTCATTGGTCCGCGTGCCCTGTGTTTTTATATTATGGGCAGCCAGGGAAAAAAGTCAGGCCAGCATATAAAACTCAAGGATTACATAATATCGACAAGGCAGAAGGAAGGAAACTAAATTTTTTGCCAGAGGAATTACTGTAGGCCAGAACCTGGGTAAAAGCTCCCAGGACCACACAGTGTAAACCGAAATCCAACTGTTCGACCTTCTGGCGTTAAGCTGCATTAGGGCTGAGACAGGTGATACTTCTAGGAGGGGAGCGCTTTACTGTCCTCATCTTTCTCACTGCAGGGATGTGAACTTTCATATCCTAATACCGCTCTGGACTTTGCCACTTAACCAACTGAAAAACATGTTGGTTAGTTCAGTCCTGCTGCTGCCGTGACTCTTATGCAGCACACACTCCCCCACACCCTGGCATTTGCTCTGTGAGGTTCCTTAGGCCCTGGCTCTCCTGGGAGCCGGAATTAAGCCACTTCTCTCTCTCCCTAGGGCTCGATCAAGTTTCACTGCAGAAAGTCTCCGCTGCGCTATGCTGACATCTGCCCTGAACCTTCGTCCGACAGTGTTACTGGCTTTAATCAGATTCTGCTGGAAAGACATAGACTGGGCGATGTGTGATCTCTTCTCACCTTCTATCCTTACCTGGCCGGGCAACCCTGGTGCCTTTGTTTCTACAGCGCCTTTTCCTGCCAGCTGCCTTGCCAAAGACATTTAATCAACACACAGCTGCCAAACTACTCCCAGTGCCTCCCAGGCCTGTGCGAGTGAGGGCTCCTGCCTGCCTGCGGGCCAGGGCTGCGCGGCCAATCCCCAGGGGTCCTGGGGCTCTAGCCTCCATCTCAAGCTCTGACAGGTGTCAGGGTTAGTAGTTCCCAAACCAAGATTAAGAAACAGCAGGGCCACATTTTAACTACATTCTCAGAGCTAACTGCAATCAAACAAGATTGAGAGCTGTCTGTTGCTACGGTGGGGTACCCCCCCCCTCTGACCCCCCACAAACAGAACAGGCAGCTTGAGATCAGCTCTAAAATCTTGGCTGGGGAAATTCTGCGTTTAATTCCTTTAAAAGGAACAAAACTTTACTATTTAATATGTTGCTGATTTATTTAATTTCAAGCAATTAAATTATGAATCAAGGATGATGAACAATGCAGTGTACCACAGAACCACACTGTGATTTTATTTAGTAACACTGAGCAAGTTTTCACTCAAAGGTGTGAAACTTGATAAATTATCTCACAAAATCTACAACTGTACCAAAAATAAATAACTTGAAAACAACCATTTGAATGTGTGCCACTTGAGTGCCGTCCGTCTGACATCTAAGCCCACGGCAACGGAGGTGAAGACTGGTGCTGGCGTGACCTACCCTACATCCGCCGGTCTTCGTCCTGGAAACACTGCCTGCCTCCTGGGAGAAGGAGCAAGCAGCATCGTGATCCACTTTAAGGATCCTTATTCTGGGATGGCTCCACGATGCTTAAACAGCAGTCGGCAAACTCCACAAACAAGGGCTCCTGCATGCAGGCTCTCATGAGCTTGGCCTTGTCGTCCCCCTGATCGAGGGTGACCATCAGCTGTCTAAGGTGTGGGTTGAGCAGTAAGCTTCTTAATGCTGCAGACTCCCCTTAAAAATTAAGGGAAGAAAGGCAATCTGAGTTGAAGCTGGAACAGGTGGAGCTGCCTGCAAGCTAAATGCTTTAAATGTAATAAGTATTGTATCCCCTGAGTCTTTAAACCCACAAATTAACCCCAGTGCTTTACA